TGGGTTCTGACTGCTTTGGGCCCCGTGTGATAAGGTCCTATGAGAAGAGAACTAAAGAGAACAGATACAGCAAAAATAGAGACAAGCTCTGCCAAAGCCCAGGATTGAACCAAGAACCTTCGGTCTAATGCTCTCCCAGCTGAGCTATTTTGGCTGTTATGAGTGGGATAATACACCTCATCTGTCCTCCAAAATGTATCTCAAAAAAAGCAAGAGAAGATGCCATGTCTTCCCACTGTATGAAAAGGATATTTCTTCTTTGTTTTGAACAGGGGATCTTGAATGTGTGAGGTGAATGTGATAGCCACTACACTGCAGAAACAAGACGAGAGGCAAGGGTTTCCATGTTCACCTCCAGCCAAGAATAGTCTTCTCACTATGAATGTGGGCTGTAGTATTAACACATGGCTGAATCCTTACCCCATGACCATCGGGAGGAAAGGTGGTGTCCTGACTCTTCAGACAGTCTCTTGACTTTGCTGAACATCAGCACATATGATCCTATAGAACAGGATCAGAACCTACAGGCAGTTTTTAAAGCACGTTTTCCATGTGTAAATGTACCATACCACTCACACTATGCTGAGTGGGGGGCGAGAATGAACCCAAAATATGCTTTCGAATAGATGTGTTTAGTGCACTAGCCTCTCATGTGCAAATACACTCCTGGTCACTGCCAAAACCTGATCACCTATGTTCAGGTAAAATTTGGCTGAAATGGAGGTTGGGCAGAGTTGCAGGTGTCACTTATTATAAGGAAAGTCCATATTATAAGGAAAGTCTCCCCACACAATCCGCCCCACACTCTCAGAACATCTGGGAAGAACTTATTAGAACACCATAGAACCAAACTCAACATGACTTCCCAAAGATCGTACACGGCCGCAGCTCCCATGTTATGGAATGGCCTACCAAAAGAGATTTGTCTTATTACTATGCTAGACGCCTTTAAGAAGGCACTTAAGATGGAGCTCTTCCAACGGGCCTATCTATCTGATCTTCTAGATTTCTAGATTCTGACGATGATTGACTATTTTATTTTATTCTATTTATATTATATTATATTATATTATATTATATTATATTATATGCTCTTATAATTTATTACTGTTGTTTGATTTCACTATTTTATTGTTTGTATTTTGCATATTATATTCATTTAATTGTGTAATCCCGCCTCAATCCGTAGGGAGAAGCGGAAAATATAAATAAATAAATAAATAAATAAAGTATATTAGAGGTTCAGAAGGCTTGTCCCTTATCAGACTGGCTAGTGACCCTTATGATATGGAATGTCCCCTTTTAAAGG